AATCCCACAAGTAGGTAGAAGCCAGGGAGAGGAGGGGCTTATGTTCTGTGGTTAGAGGTTTGGACATTGTCTCATGGAAGTTAGAGAAATTTAAGTGCTTTAAGCTACAAATCTTCATGATCAAATTTGCATATTCAAAAGACCGCTTTGGCATGGTGCTGGGGATAACTCAGCCAGGGCTAGAGCAGAGGCAGGAAAGCTAGTCAGGAGGTACTGAGAAGTCCAAGTCAGAGATGATGAGGGTCTGGAGTAAGTGGTACCATCAGTTTGGAGAAGTCTTCATGTTGTCATTCAGTTCTTAAGGCAACATTTTTTTCCATATATTGTAATGTGGAATCAGACCAGAGACTATCTGCATCCTAAGGCAAGAATTGTGTGTTTTTGCCCAAGCCGGTTTGGCTCAGTGGTAGAGCATCAGTCTGTGGACTGAAAGGTCCCAGGTTCGATTCCGGTCAAGGGCATGTACCTTGGTTGCGGGCACATCCCCGGTGGGGGGGTGCAAGAGGCAGCTGGTCAATGTTTCTCTCTCATCGACATTTCTAGCTCTCTATCTCTCTCCCTTCCTCTCTGTAAAAAATCAATAAAATATATATTAAAAAAAAAAAAGAATTGTGTGTTTTCTTTGCTTCTCTTTATTCAAAATTATCTTACCCTGAGCCTAAACTAAGCTCTTTCACACAAAATCAGTGTTTGTGGTGGTGGTAGATTGTCATTGATGTTGATGATGATGATAATCACACATGTACAATGTGAAATTAAACTTCAAACTATCCTGAATTAAGATTTCCACAAAAGGTTTGAGGTTGTATCTTCAAAGAGAAAGTCACCATTATTGGTTGAGGCCATTGTTGCCTTCAACCAGGACACCTTCAGGCACTGAAGAATCAAAGAACAGAAATATCTACTGATTTAGTGATTCTGGGATTTAAATATAGAATGAGAGGCCTCATTATATGCATTCTTGTTGATATTGACTCTTCTCTTTGCTGCTCTAACCACACCCCCAAAGTCTTCTACTACCTTGCCCCTTCACACCAAACTTTCACCAAATTTCCCATATCTCTTGTCTTTGTACATGCTGTTCTATATAAGTAGGAGCTTTTTCCTTCACCTAGTCTGCCTGGGAAACAACTTCTCTCTCAGTTTTCAGCTCCAAGGTCATTGCTGCCTCTTCTCAACCTTCTCTTATCCTAGAGTGGACTTCGTTGTTTAGTATTGCATGTGCCTGTGACACTGTGCTCAAACTGTTATAGTCCTTAGATATCACATTGAAAAAAAGAAAAACTGGCTGAGAGAATGAACAGATTAGTGAGAAACTATAATCATTGGAAGATAGCAATACAACCAACAGTGAAATACAGATTAAAAATTAATATGATCCAGGCCTAAATGGTTTGGCTCAGTGAATAGAGCATCAGCCTATGAGCCAAAGGGTCCTTCGTTTAATTCCAGTCAAGGGCACTATCTTGGTTTCAGGCTCCTCCCTGGACCAGGCCCTGGTCAGGGCTGGTGCAGGAGGCTACCCTCAATGTGTTCCTTTCACATTGATGTTTCTCTCTGTCTTTCCCTCTCCCTTCCACTCTCCCTAAAAATCAATGGAAAAATATCCTCAGGTGAGGATTAACAACAACAGCAAAACTTTTTTTTTATCCTGATTAAGAATCAGGATAAAATGGCATGTATGTGTAGATTTTTTTAGAGAGAGGGTCAGTAGCATATCAGATTCTCAAAGAGGTCTGAGAAACAAAGTGTGTAGAAAGATACTAGTTATACACAAAGTGAGAAAGAATTAACATAAAACATTCTGAAAGGAGTAAATAACTCCAGTGTCTTTCTATGTTTATGTAATTGATACAACAAAGAACAGAAATTATAAATGTAAATACATCAGTTTTTAACTCAAAGAGGGGTAATAATAGAGTGATACAAAGAGTTCTGGTCTCAAATCAGACAAAGCCTTAGAAAATATGCAAAATCCAATAGGATATAACTTAGGTATCTTTACCTAAAGATAGGATATGTGCAGTAAGGTCCTAAGAATATAAAAAGATACAAGGATTCTAAAGTGTATGAAGTTACATTTCTTAAGATCCTTTCAAATTCAAAGATTTTAGACATAGAAGGGGAAAGTCATGTACATACCAAAAGAGCTTATCGGCTTGGTGGGAGCCATGAGCTTTTCCCAGAAAACAGAAAAATTAGGTAACATGCATAATTTGCATTCACGGAAATTGACTAAGGGAATGTTCCCCTCATAAGTCAAGGAATCATTGACATTACAACATAAATAAGGTTAGCCCATACCCTCGTGTTCTCAAACAAGAATCCAGATACCCTCTGGCCTACGGCTCTTGTAGTAATAATATAAATTGCAATAAAGCATCACATGCCAAGGTCTTTCCACTTGTCCTCACATGGTCTGCAGGGTCAGGGACCGAGGGTTCATCCAGAGTCAAAAGAACTTTTTATCATGTATTTCTAAAACTTAAAAATGGGGACAGGGGAAACTGGCTTTTTCTTTAAAAATGCATATCTGAATCATTCTTCGAAATATATTTTACTTGCACTTATTGCGACTGCCTTTGCTTTCAAAATGCATATTTGAGTCCCTTTTTAGATGTTTACTGTAACTCCCACATATATACATATGAATCTTTAAAATAAAATAAAAAGACTGAGGCAAAATAAGATGATGTTGGCCACAGGAAGTATGTAATAGCCATTTCAGGACCTCCCAGCAAGAGTCAATCTCCGTGTCTCTGGAGAAGAAAGCGTGGGAGCCTGAAATACCACACCAAACCAGAACAGCTGAACCCCTGGCCTTCCTTTCCGTATTCTGGATGGGTTCCCTCCTCCGTGTCAGATCATCGTATAGGTTCAAAATGTGGTCCCCAGACCAGAAGCAGCACCTACTTGTGAGAGAAATTCAGAGTCTCAGGCACCAACCGAGACCTATGTGGTCATAATCTGTATTTTCCTAAGACTTGCAGGAGATTCCTGTGCACATGAAGATTTGAGGAGTCCTAATGTTGCATATACTGCCTATCCTGCCACGGGCACCTGGAGGAAAGGAGAAGGAGAAGGCACTCACATGACTACTTCACAGATAGAGGAAGGCAGGACAGAGCTCTGGGTTCTTACCTGGTAGGGCAAGAATGAAATTTGGACGATGATGACAGCATGCCTCTCTAAGATGGACTGGGAGTTTGCAAACTTGAGTGATTTTTTTTTAATGAAATTAAATCTCCTTCTACTTTTATTTTGACTACCAGCTAACAATTTTTTACCATTTACTATATGCCATGGACTGTTTCAGCTCTTCATGTGTACTATCTCAAATAACCCTTTCAATGACCTATAAGTAGCTTCTACTGTTACTCCCATTTTGCAGAGGAGGAAGGTGAGACATAGAGCCACTAATTAATTAACATACTCCAAGTCACTCAGCTAGTAATCCACGATTCCCTTCAGCCAGTCACCCCAGAGCTCTCACCCTTTTTCTCAGCACGGTTATCACTGCTCCTATATGGGGTAAAGGTGGGCTGCAGAGCAATGAGCAGAACCTTTGTACATGTCCATATTCAGATGCTGAAGCTGCAGGCTGGCCAGAGAAGGCAACAAGGAAAGTTCAAGGTTGCAGAGAATCAGAGGCACACATTTGCTTCAAAAAGGTCATCGCTCCATGGGGTGGGGCCTTCCTCTGGTCATTCAGAAAGAGCTCCCAAGCTGTGATACATGGTGGCCAGTGCCCTGTGGAAGGGCTGTTGGGTAAAGCATTTTGCTGAAAGAGGGAAAGTTAAAACTGATGTCCTCCTTGAATGAAGCACTCAGAGCTCCTGGGAGTCACCCCAAGATGCATGACCGAGATGAGTGTTTCTCCACCTCTGCTCTTCTCCCTGAAGAGATTAGGCAAAGGGTCAAGTTATTAAGAGAGCAGGTGGGGAGAAAGGAAGTAGTGGGGACAGTGGCGGCTGGCGAGAGCACTATACAAGGGCGGCTGGGAAGACAGCAACTAGCAGGAGACAGGGGCAGACGTCCAGAGGAAGTGGTTTTCCTTAAGGCTTGCTAAGAGCAACAAAGGTTCTGGGAAAACTCAGGACGCCGTGGGAAGGTGAGTGACCCAGAACTTACAATATGTGCTGCTGGAGATCAGAAGATGTCTACTGACTGTGACATTTTAGAATCCGAGTCCCAGTAGATACACAAGTCTTCAAAGTCGTAAAAATCTTCATGTTAGTCAAAATCAGCCTTGCAGGCCACCTGGTCATACTCTCAAGGCTCCTTTGCTCTCCTGGATTTCAGAGTACAGATGCCAGGTTTCCAAACAGGCCAGTCTACCTTCAAAAATCAGAGGAAAAAGCAAGAGCGGGACGGAATGAAAAGCACAGCTGGTCTGTTGCAAAGGGAGTTGTTTGTGGAAAGCTCTGGGGCTGCGTCAGTTCTGCCGGATCTAGTGCTAAAATCAAAGTGATTACACCCAGGGCAGAAGCCGGACTTGAGATGAGTTTTCAGAAGTTCCATCTGAGATCCCGAGGCATGAAGATTTCAGTGGTGTGGCCAATGGGAGAAAGCGAGCTGGTAATGTTGCTTTCTTTTATCTAAGCCTTTTATTTTATTTTATTTTATTTTATTTTATTTTATTTTATATGGGAAATTCTCTCTTTAAAAAAAAAAGTCTTTATTGATTTCAGAGAGGAAGGGAGAAGGAGAGAGAGAGAAACATCAATGATTAGAGAAAAATGCTGCCTCCTGCATGTCCCCTGCTGGGGATCAGGTCTGGGACCCTTAAATTCTCAGGTTGACACTCTATCCACTGAGCCAAACCACCTAGGGCAGGGAAATTCTCTTTACTCTTACAACAAAGATATTCTTTTTTTTTTAAATCTCTTAAATTAATGTTTGAGCCATCGACCAGAAATAAAAACATATTTCATTCAAGAAACAATCACAGATTTGTCTTGTATTATCTTGTCTTGTTTTCTGTTGTTTATTTTGTTTTGTGTGGTCCCCATTTCTGAATCTTTTTTTCAGTATCTTATATCTGTAATCTGCTTAGGAAAGGTAAAGGCAGCCCAGTTCTGCAGATGAAGCTGAGAGAAGGTTCTTTTCCTGCAGGGAGAGTGTGTTCCACTCTATGAACAATGGCTTAGCAGACCTGACTGACAAAGGAGAGGGTGATAGATGCCAAATTTACAGCTTTTTATAATGCCTATCCACTAACCGATTTGTGAAATTATAGGTGCTCTTAATTCGTTTGTCTTTTTACTTTTATATTACATTAAGAATGACTAACATGCAACCTTTACACTATCCAGTATTCTCTGTCTTTGTATTTATATTATAAAGCAAGTTTTAGACTTTTGTATGCATGTGTCCAAACTCATCAAATTGCATGCATTAAATCTGTGCAATCTCTGTATGTTAATAAAGCTGTTAAAATGAGCTAGTATTTTTTTAAAGAGGGGTAGCAGGGTCTCAGGCTACTTCACCACAAAGGGAAACAGGGGACATCTTCCTCACTACTCCAGCTGGGACCCGGAACACTCTTAAGACTGCATTTGAGAAAGGGGCTAGACCTGGGTTGAGGTTTGTCCCAGAAGTCTTTGAGCACAGTGGAAACTGAAACAGAACCTCCCTAGTGAGAATGAGAACTCCTGGGACTAGCTTCACAGATGGGGAGGAGCAGCCTCCAGCAGGATACAAGCATTGCAGTGGCTGGGGAGCAGGTCGTTTGGGTCCAGCTGCCTACAGAGCCTTCACAGCATGACTGAGATAGAGACAAGGCTGCTAGGAGCTACAAATTAAGCTGCTTATGCACAAATAACCTTCCAACCACCTCAAACCCAATTATTAAAAGCAATCATGCTATTCTACTTAAACATAGCATTTGCTCCTAAATTCTTCCTTCTGCACTATCACAAAATGGTGTATTGTTTTCCATTTTAGGCCTAAAATCCTCAGTGGTGTTTTTGGAGAATTCAGTGGAATCCAAGGGAGAGAGCCTAATTACAGAGACTTAGACACATAATGAGGCTGGGTTTTTCCCCAGGAATCACTACCAAGGAAGAACCTTAGAGGTAAGACTAAGACCTTCTGGGGTTATAAGATGGGTATCCACCATGGTTTTCTCACTTGTTGAAAAGAGACCTTTCCCTAGTCACAAACTCTGCCAGGAGCACCATCGCCTCATCTGTTCAACATCTCACAAGCACATCTTGAGCCCTAAACATTCTCCATGCTAACCAAACTGAGGTGGCTATTATAAAGGACCAACCTTAGCCGAAACCGGTTTGGCTCAGTGGATAGAGTGTCAGCCTGCAGACTCAAGGGTCCCAGGTTCGATTCCGGTTAAAGGCATGTGCCTTGGTTGCAGGCACATCCCCAGTGGGGGTGGGGGGGTTGCAAGAGGCAGCTGATCGATGGTTCTCTTTCATCAATGTTTCTAGCTCTCTATCCCTCTCCCTTCCTCTCTGTAAAAAATCAATAAAATATATTTTTTAAATAAAATAAAATAAAGAACCAACCTTAGCACCAGAAATTTTCCAAAACCCTTTCACAAGAACGTGGTTGTGCATTTCCTATTGCTTCATTCTAAAAACTATGTAAATGGTAGAAAGCAATGGATTCAGTGATACTCTTAATACATGTCTATTTACTAATTAGAAGAGCATAAAAAAAAGAGCATCTATGCACATTAGAAAAGTAGTGGTAAATACAGTTGTAAGATGCAATATTCACAAGTCTAATGCTTGATGTACAAACTGATCTTTGGTTCCTCATGGGAACTTACATTTCCCAGGACCACAAGGACCCTTCTCTGCCCAAATTGTGCCTTGTCAGTCTAGGTGTCCAAAGGTTAAACCACATCACAGCAAATACCAGGGCTCTGGAAACAATGCAGTGGACATGGTCCCCCTCCAGGGAAACCACCTCCCCCAACTTTAAGTACCATTGGGCTCAAAAGAACCATGTCTGGAAATAGTCCTGGCTGTATTTTAACCCCCAAAGGTCCATCATTGCCTGAGATCATCTCAAAATCCTCAAAATATCTTTGAATTCCCAAGCCATTATAGTCAGCAAATTTGGTGTTATTTATATTTTTATCTCAGTGCAACTGCACATTCTGGAATTCCCCTCGTGCCCTCTACTGCAGAACTCATGCTCTACCATCAATGGAGAATAGCCGAAGTGGTTTCTGGGATTTTTTTTTTTTTTTATAGCTACAACTATAGCTTGTCTGGGCAATAAGAGGACAGGCTGGTTGTTTAGGAAAAGTACCTAAATGCTTATCAATAGTACAGTGGACCAGATAGAACCACAAATGCAAATATCCCGATGCAGGAAGTGCTATAGTAAAAGGTCAGAGAGGATAGGGAGCCAAAAGGAAGAGAAGATGATGCAAGACCTGGCTGAAGTCATAGGCAATACTTGAAGAGCATTTTGGTGATTCTGGATTTTACTTAAAAAGCAATAGAACCCTCATATCCAAAATAAATATTAAAGAAAAATTCCTACAACTGAAATAGAAATAAACAACTCAATTAAAAAGCAGGTAAAAGGTGTGAACAGGCATGCCACAAAGGATATCAAAATGGCCAACAAATATTATGAGTGTTAACACCATTAGTCAGCTGAGAGATTCAGGTTAAAGCAAATGAAACATCACTACATAGCCACCAGAATGGCTAAAATTAAAATGTGACAGTACTTAGTGTTGGCAAGAATAAGAGGTACCTGGAATACTATTACACTCCTGGAGTGTGTAAATATTTGCACAATCACTTTGGGGAAATCTGTGATGATGCCTACAAAAGCTAGACATGTGTGTGGTCCATGACCCACCCCTGGGCACATGTACAAGGATTCTTATGTCCACCGGAAGAAAGTTCATGGCAGCTCTATTTGAATAGGCCCAAACTGAGACAAGCCTAAATGTCCATCAACAGTAGAATCACTAAATGCACTTGAAATATTATAACAGAATTCTGCGCTTCAATGAAAAAGAACAAGCTACTAATGCAGACCATGGGAATAAATCTCTCAGTCATAAAGATGAGTGAAAGAAATTAAACATAAAAATAGTACATACTATATGATTCCACTCACATGAAGTTTAAAGCTAGACAAAGGTAATCTATGGTGATCGAGGTGAGCTTTTGGATGAGAAAGTCGTGCCGGAGCTTTCCTGATGGCTGGAAAGTTCTTCCATTGGTCTAAGTGGCAGTTACATGGATGTATACACACATAAGTAAAATTCATCAGACTGCATGTTAAGAGGCATGCACTTGAATGCAAGTAAGTTATGCCTTAGTTTTTACAAATGAGGGGGAGAGCAATGGAGGATGAATCCATGGAAATTGCTGGGAGAGATGGGTGGGTTCAGGGACAGAGGCGGAGAGTCTATGAGCAAGTCCTGAGGACCCAGCACTGAAGGCTGGGTGGAAGGGTGAGGCAACAAACAAAGAATGCCGAGAAATCGGAGGAAAGCAGCATAGGGAGAAACAAGAGGTGGCTGAGAGCAGTTCTTACTGATGAGATAAAGGAGGATGGAAATAGGGTGATGGGTGAGAAAGACCCTCCAGCCTCATTTGTAGACATAACATACACAGAAAAGTCATAACTTTCTATGAGATTTAGAAGTTATTTGGGTGATTCATAGATGCACAAAACAGTGACAGTTGTCAGAGGATGGGGATTGGGGCAGGGTGAAAAAGTAAAAGTATTTAATAGCACAAATTGGTCATGGAGATGAAGATTACAGCATAGGAAATATAGTCAATAACATCATGATAGTTGTATATGGGGCCAGAAGGGTGCTTGAAACATTAGGGGCCACTCTGTAAAGTATATGATTTCCTAACCACTTTGTACACCTGAAACTAATCAGAATAATATTGAATATAAACTGTAATTGAAATTTTTTTTAACAATTTTTTTAAAGTTACATGAGTGATTTAAAAACTTACTGGAGAAGCCTGTCTCCATTCAAAGTAAGTGGGAGTCACATCAGGTGCCATCGTCAGAATCCAGGCCCTAAAGAAATGGCCACAGATGGCCTGGTTCCCCAGGAGAAGGCATGCTGCCCCCCTGACCTAGACATCAGCGTGACCTTCAGGGACACCCAGCCAAATGCAGGGAAGAAGGGACCTGGATAAAGAATAAGCTATACTGGTAAATGACTTCAGTTTTTCAACTTAGGTCACTCACAGGAAAGCATTAGAATCATGTAGGGTTTAGAGTTATATGGTATCAACATGTACTGAAGCCAACTCTGCAAAATGAAGGATTTCTACACACCTTGTGTGCAAATACCGTTTCCTCCTCTTGATTTCTAAAGTACTTTTGGTGAAAAGCTTTTTTTTTAAATATATTTTATTACCGTCTTTTTCCAGTGTATAAGACGACCCCCTAATTTTACAGTTAAAACATAGGTTTAGGCCTATATTCTCTGTATAAGACTACGCCCCACTTCCGAGGCAACACCAATTCTTTTTTTAATAGACCACCTCTCTGACTCTGGCCAATCTGAGCAGGCTTTTTTTCGTTTCAAAAGTAGTCTTATATGCCGAAAAATACGGTAATTTTTTTTACAGAGAGGAAGGGAGAGGGATAGAGAATTAGAAACATCAATGAGAGAGAAACATCAACCAGCTGCCTCCTGAATGCTCCCTACCAGGGATGTGCCTGCAACCAAGGTACATGTCCTTGACTGGAATCGAAACTGGAACCCTTAAGTCCACAGGCTGACACTCTATCCACTGAGCCACACCAGTCAGGCTGAAAAGCTTTCTTAAGACATCATTCATATGTTTTTCTGTATTGTGGTTTTGTTTTTTTCCTCTTCATATTAGACTGTTAACTCCCTGAAGACAGACAGTTAGTCTTTTCACCTTGTATCTTCCCACTCCCCACAGGACTGCACCCTGGGCCTCACTGACCTTGGATGTTGCAGATGTGAGACACATGAGCAGGTCCAATTTGAAGACAGACTCTGGAGAGTGAGTCCACCTTGCAGGCATCCAGTTATACTGAATTGCACCACCTTGAGCCTGAGTCATTGCTGTTTCTCTAAAAGAAGTAAAAATACATTGTTTAAAATTCAAGAAGGCATTTCAGAGAAACACAGATGGCCTTGTGGCAACATAAATAGCAGGCAGAAGAATGGAGACTGCCTTCTGAAGGAAAAAAGACAAGGTCACCTTGCCCTCCAGTCTCATTAGTGGAAATAACACTTACAGGAAAGTAACATGTTTTTAAAGATGCTTGGAAGTTTCCTAGGTGATCATGAAATTGCTGGTGGCATTATGAATTTTTCAAAATACATAGAACATGCCCTCTGAAATCAACTCAACTGGCAATTAGGACAAAACAGGGTTATGGAGCTTTTTTTCCCCTTCTTTGGCTGCTAATTAGGAGATCTGTGCCTTTTTGGGGGGTTTTATGTTACCTAAAGGGCTAAAACTCTTGATGGTGATGACTAATAATATTGATGTATTCGAATTTAATCTTTAACTTGATTTCTTAGGGTGATTAGATGATGCTCAGTGAGATCGGTCATGTTATTCTTTGATAGACTCTTTAAATAGTATATGGTAAATGCAGGAAAGCAAGAGGAATAAATAATTTTACCCTCATGCATGCTTCCTGACCCCCATGTGCAACAGCAGTTGAGGTCAGCAGTCTCCACACACAAATAGGTGTTCCCAGCAGGAATCCACATTGACCAGTCTGCCTGTGGAACCCATGCCTTTATTGTACAGAGTTCATGTCAAAAGCTCATAAAGAGTAGTGTAGCCCAGCCAGCATGGCTAGGTGGTTGAGTGTCAACCGAAGAATCAGAAGGTAAGGGTTAGATTCCCGATCAGGGCACATGTATGGGGTTTCAGGCTCAATCCCCAGTGTGGGGCATGCTGGAGGCAGCCAATCAATGATTCTCTATCATCATTGATGTTTCTAGATATCTCTCATTGATGAACCCAGAATCAAGTCAAGTAAACCTGTTTTTCTCCTAGCTCTGCCCCTCACCAGCCTCAAGAGAGCTTCTTACCCCCTCTGAACCTCAGTTTTATTCATCAGTAAAATGGCAATAATGATGGTACCCACCCCATGATGGTTTTTAGAATTAAATGAAATAAGACATGTAAAAAACTTAGAAGAGTGCCTAATTCTTGATAAATGTTTATAGAACTATTATCATTATTTTATTAATCTCTGAATGTCTTAATCATTCTTTACAAAATCTGATCCACTTTGCAATCATTACTTCATCCAGAGAGAGAAGTGATCCCTGCTGGTGGAGGAAAATCACAAGCAAGCTAGTTATAAGAATAGGATTCCACCTTCATGCTTAGAAGACAACTCTTTAATCAAGGTTAGTTAGGCCCTCACAGGGAGCCTTTAGGATTCTACAGAGGTGACCCTGCTAAAATATTGCAGATCATTGTATGTTTATGGTTCCAATGTAAGCCAAGATCTTTGAAGAGTGGTCCTCTATCATCTTGTTCTCTCTACTGCCGGTGGAGAAGGATATCTTGGATTGATGCTGAGATGTTGCCATAAGGATGGCAAAAGCACAAGGTAGTCAAGGAATACCCTGTGAGCTGAGTGGAAGTTACAGAGTTTGCATTATTGTTCATGAAAGGGGTATGGCTGCACAGTGACCATTCATTGGAAAACTCTTGGCTTTTCCCATGGCTGATATATGGAGATTTTCAACCTTGTTTACCAAGGACACTCTGAAGAGACACTATGAGAGATGGGCATTTCTTTGAAGCTGATTGACCTCAAAAGAGAGAAGGCATGAAGTCACTTCACTTCAGGTAGATGACAAATATACGTCAATATATATAAACTAGAGGCCTGGTGCCCAAAATTAGTGCACAGGTGGGGTCCCTAGGCCTGGCCAGCTGGTAATCAGGGCCAATCAGATTCCCTGCCTCCCTGCCTCCCTCCTCCCCTCCCTGCCGGCACCCAGACTGCCACCTCATAATTCTCTGCCTCCTTACCTCATAATTCTCTGCCTCCTCACCACCTGCACACCACCACCGTGCAGTTCCCCGCCTCCCCACCTTCCCCCCTCCTCCTTCTCTCGCCATTCATGTCTTCTGCTACCCACTCCCAGTTCCCTGTCCCAGACCAGGGTCTGGCCCTGATCAGGCAATTGGGACCTGCCATCTGGGGGGAAGATTAGAGAGGTTGGCTGGCAGGCCTCAATTGGGCAATCAGGGCCTGTCAGATGGCAGAAAGGAACAGAGGGAGGGACCCAGGAGGTTAGCCACTGGCCCCAAGGAGAGAGCTGGCCCTCAGCCCCCTGGGAAAGGGGCTGTGTTCACCACCACCCACCACACCAGGTCCCAGCCCAGCCCAGGAGCCCAACTCCAATTGGGGCCTGCTGGCCAGGAGGAGAAACTGAGAGGTTGGCCTTCAGACCCCATTGGTGATTGGGGCCTGCAGGCTGGGGGCAGTTTCTGCATTGAGTGTCTGCCCCCTGGTGATCAGTGTGTGTCATAGTGACCAATTGTTGTAGTCATTCTATCGTAATGGTCGCTTAGGCTTTTATATATATATATATATATATATATATATATATATATATATATATATATATATATATATATATATATATTGACTGGTGGCCTGGTGCACAAAATTCATACACAAGGGAGGTGTACCTCAGCCCAGCCTGCACCCTCTCCAATCTGGGACCCCTTGGGGAATGTCTGACTTCCTGTGGGATTGGGCCTAAACTGGCAGTCAGACATCCCTCTCACAATCCAGGACCAATGGCTCCTAACTGCTCACCTGCCTTTCTGATCGCACCCCAACTGCCCCCCTTCTGGCCTGATCACCTCTAACTGGCCCCCCTGCTGGCCAGATTGCCCCCAACTGCTCCCCACTGCCAGCTTGCTCACCCCCAACTGCCCTCCCCTGCCAACCTGCTCACCCCCAACTCCTATCCCTGCCAGCCTGCTTGCCCCCAACTGTCTTCCTCCCCTCCCTCCCCCACCAGCCTACTCTCCCCTAACTGCCTCTACCTCAGCCCTGCCTCTATGGCTTTGTCTGGTAGGATGTCCCGAAGGTCTCCCAGTCTAATTAGCATATTATCCTTTTATTAGTATAGATACCTATGGTTAGCAAGTCTCAGTGACAGGTCTGACCTGGGCACCAGGGTCATTGAATCAAAGTGCAGAGGGTAGTGTTCATGGCCAAGATGAAGTAGAAGAATTAAAAAGAGGAAGGAAAAAGTTTGCAATGTGCTCAACAGAAGTATTCTTAAAATAAAAAATAAAAATAAAAATTTTCTCAGCTGTATGTCTGCTCTGATCTTATCTCCATTTAAATACCAACTTGATAAGATTTTTGAAATGGAGAAGTGGCTTCATTAAGTTACAGAACTTCTTCCTGTCTAGACCTACAGCTCCTTAATTTCTAATAAAATTGAGTAAATAATAGTCCAAATGCCAGTGTGAAGTCCAGATCTGGTCAGAATCATCTGGAGTGCATTTACACATGACAGATGGCATGAGCTTGCCCCACAGGGACTGACCTAGAATCTCTAGGGGTGGGCCCCATTAGTAAAGCACCTGTAATGACTGTGATGGTGACCAACTTTGGGAACCCCTGAAATAGACCATTTCCATGCCCAGCTTTATAAAGCCTTCACTTGAACATCACTAATGGTCCTCATTAATGACCCTCCTTAAACTATCCATCGAGAAGCTTGCCCAGTAAGTTCCAAGAAGTTAACGTGATGCCAATAGTCGGTCTACTGGATAAGTCTACTTTTCCTGGAGTTTTCTTTTCTCCTTCCAGAGTCCCAACACTTTCCACTTAAATTGGCCTTTTCCTTGAGCCATGTCTGAACTTTCCCTGTCTCAAAGTAGAATCCAATTACCTCTTCACACCCTGAAGATGTTTTCAGTTGAGTCTTGTAAATGCCACATCAGTTTGCCTTCTGAACATATTGGCTAAATGTCCAAAATAATAATTACTCCAATAGGGACTCGGTAAAATTCCTAACAAGCCCATGAAGTGGGTATCTGCTAAAAATAAATAAATAAATAAATAAATAAATAAATAAATAGATAGATAGCATTACATTTCAAGTGTGTGTGTGTGTGTGTGTGTGTGTGTGTGTGTGTGTGTGTTGCGTGAGAGGAATTAATCTTGTATTCCAATGGGAAGTAAACAATCTGACCTTGTATCTAGAAACTGGAAGACAAGTTTCTTCTTTATATCATTTTTGGAAAAAAAATGCCAGGAGTGAGGAAGCAGGAAAGGTGATAAGGGTGAGGTAGTGTTGTGGGGTTTTTTATTAATAATAGTTTTTAATTGGTATAACATGTATTGTTGTG